GACGGGAGCTCACTCTGTCTTGCGGCAGGAGGAGAAAGGCCGGGTATAAATAAAGTAAAATAAATACAAAGAAAAAATAGATGCTTGTTTCCCTGAAAAAAAAAATTGGGCATGTTCCGTGTCGTGTTTAGTTTCTTGATGATAGAACGCACTTCTGTAACTTTTCCAGCAGAAGTCGGTGGCTTGGCTTTCATTTCTTGAGTTACCTGCTGTAGGTAATAGCTTGTTTTCTTAATTGTGGCGCAGCTGTAGTCCTGATTGTACATTAAAAAGGTAAAGGTAAAGGTTCCCTTGCTCGAACGCCAGTCGAATCCGACTCTAGGGTTGCGGTGCTCATCTCCGTTTCCAAGCCGAAGAGCCGGTGCTGTCCGAAAACGTTTCCGTGGTCATGTGGCCGGCATGACTAGACACCAAGGCGCACGGAACGCTGTTACCTTCCCACCGAAGTGGTACCTATTTATCTACTTGCAATTTCTTGCTTTCGAACTGCTAGTTTGGCAGGAGCTGGAACTAGAGACGGGAGCTCACTCTCTGTGTGCCTGGCACTATTTTGTGGGACTCGGAGCACTCAAAAATGTTCTGTTGACTAGGCTGACATTTTCGGGTACACTTGGTTCTCTCTCCAGATCGTGCCCATTTCAAGAGATGGTAAAGTGAGTCATCTGCCTCCTCCTCAGTCAGTGTCGGGGGCATTCTTTGGTGGAGCTGGAAAAATGTATTATGTGTTAGCCCAGACGATCATCTTTTGAGTTGTAGCAAATTATATTTCTGGGATGTAGGTGTAGGGTTTTACCATAGGGATACTGTTTCACATTCTGCTTGGTATAGGGAAAATCCATCACATTTGAGGCAGCTTTAGTCTCCAGTGTTTCTGCAACTTCTACGTGACTTTCGTCACAATCTTGAAGTTGTTCAAATAGCTTAAGCCGGGCTGAACAGATGGAGTTGGATTTGCACAGGTGTATTCCCCGTTTACTTTAAAAGGCTTCCGTTGAGCATTCGATAGAACATCCAGCAGCAAAGTGCTAACAATAGATGCAGTGTAATTCAGGTCAGCTTTATGGAGCAGCTTTATCCTGATTTATTTATTTTGTTGCTTTTAATAGGCACCTTTAAAAATAGCATGGCATATTTGTATTAAATATAGGCCATAAATTGTGTAAGTGAAAGCTGTTTACTTACCTGTGCTTGGCAAAAGCTGTAAATAGTTTGATAGCTGAAAACGAGCCCTAAAATCTAAGTCAGTGCAAGTAAGAAGTTTTGGGGCTTATCACAGCACTATAAATTTGAAAAGCATTCCTATGTATTTTATATTTTCCCAGAATGAGAGAATATTTGGTTTTAAAATAGAAGCTTTGAATAGATATACTACAATATAATCCTAAATGTGCAGAGGATTGCACCTTGGACTGAAATAATGGTGAGTTAGTATAGCAATTAGTACAGTGGAAGATTTTCTGAATATTATTTCCCCTTCTATATGTCTTCATGTAAAATATTTCACAGTACTTATTCCTTTATTAGCAGGCAATGTTAAAGGGGTTCAGTAGGTAAAAGGTAAAGGTTCCCTTGCTCGAAAGCCAGTCGAGTCCGACTCTAGGGTTGCAGTGCTCATCTCCGTTTCAAAGTCAAAGAGCCGACGCTGTCCAAGATGGTCATGTGGCCGGCATGACTAAACACCAAGGCGCATGGAACGCTGTTACCTTCCCACCAAAGTGGTACCTATTTATCTACTTGCAATTTCTTGCTTTCGAACTGCTAGGTTGGCAGGAGCTGGAACTAGAGACGGGAGCTCACTCCGTCATGCGGCACACTCAGGTCTCGAACTGCTGAACTCTTATCCATTTTCCGTATAATTTCAACAAAATGCTTCCCTGTCCTAAAGATATATTAATTTTGTGGATGGGTGACTTGTGAAATGGAAAAAGGGTCACCTGGAGGTTCAGTGAATTGCTTTGTCCAATAATATACTATACAGAGCTCAACACAACAGTCAAAGCTGAACAAAAATCTGTGGACTTCTGGCAGAGAAATCTTCCAGTACTAAGAACACTTTCCTGAAGGACTTGGATAGGAGTCTTAGTAGATCCACTTAGGATTGTTCTCTTATAGGCCCTTCCTAAGCAGGAGCTACGGTGGCTCAAGTGGTTAAGACGCTGAACTGCAGGCTGTGGAAGGTCAGTAGTTGGTCCGTCCTCCTTCGCTCGCTCGCTCCTTGCCTCGCCAGCCACCATTTTCCTTCGCCGCCGTCACCACTGCTTTGCTTCACCGCTCGCCACTCACCGCTCCAACACAGGGACGGGTGCCCCCCCCCGCTCTAGTAGCAGGTATCCATTAGTCTAATCGCCCTTTTTAACGGGCTTTCGAGCTGCTGGGTGGGCGGGAGCTGGGACATAGGGCCGGGCGCTCACCCTGGCCGCGGTGGGGCTCGAACAGCCAAAGCTGTTCGGCCAGATGTACGTGCAGGCATCTCTTACCGCCTGCGCCACCGCTCCCTGGGCTTTTGTTTTCCTTCACTATATTTTATTTATTTATTTTCATTGCATTTATACCCCGCCCTTCCCGCGAACGGGCTCCGGGCTGCTTAAGGTGAGAATCAGTTGTTTAAGGTGAGAATCAGTTGAGAATCTATGCAGCCTTGAGAGCAATTTATTTAGACAGTTGGAAAATCTCTGTGTCGCCTCTCCAGGGAATGGGCCTGAAGCAGCTTATGATATAAAACATAAATCGTGAAAGTTATTAATTGAAACCCAGACACAGCGTAAAGCAGCACAAAACGCAGAACAGTTTAAAATGAGTAATTGATCGGGCTAAAAAAAAAAAGTCTATCAAATGACGTTTAAAAATTCGATCCCTTCATTCAAAGCCTGGGTAAAAAGAAGTGAGAGTGCTGTAGGCGCCTGGGGGTGAGCCTTGAGAGGAAGGGCATGCCCAGGGCTGGCCCCAGCTTATTTTGCACCCTAGGCGAGGATCCCTTCTGGTACCCCCCTTGTGCGCCCACCATGGCTCCGACCTGTTAATTGGATCTGTACCCTGGACCTCCTGTTCCCCTGGCACCCACGCTCTTAACACTCACTTTTCCTTTTGTAACTTTGCCTGCTTTGCACATCTGACTTCCACCAAGGAAGACTGCAAAGAAAGGCACTCGCAGTTGCAAACAACCTCTGCTTCTCACTTGCCTTGACAGTTCCTTGCTGGGGTTGCCATAAGTCAGTTGCAACTTGAGTGTCCTTATGTAATAGCCACCCTACTTAGATTCTTCTTTGACTCAGCTGAGTGACCCTTCTGTGCCCAGAGGGCTAAGTTCTTTGGTGGAATTGGTGTTGGTATCATCAGAAAGTTCATAACATGTTTAAAACTCAGTAGTGTTTGCAGCTGAACCAGGACAGCGGGGGTGTGTGTGCCAGTTTGGCGCCCCTAAGGGCTGGCACACTCTAGGCGAGCGCCTAGTCCGCCTAGTGAGTGAGCTGGCCCTGGGCATGCCACAGTCGGAAGTGCCACTGCCGAAAAGCCCTGTCTCTGGTTGCCAGCTGCCTCAATTCTGAAAGTGGGGAATAGAGAGCAGAGCTTGTGAAGACTATCGTAGCTGATGGACTGGGCAATATGGGAGGAGGTGGACAATATGGCAGAGACTGACCAAGAGAGAGATCTTGGAGTCGTAGATAACTCACTGAACATGTCGAGACAGTGTGCGACTGCAGTAAAAAAGGCCAATGCTATGGAGCCAAAAATCCTAACTGTAAATACATGTTGATGGGGTACAAACTGGCAGAGACTGACCAAGAGAGAGATCTTGGAGTCGTAGTAGATAACTCAATTAAAAAGTCGAGACAGTGTGTGACTGCAATAAAAAAGGCCAACGCTATGCTGGGGATTATTAGGAACTGAAAACATCAGTCAGTATCATCATGCCCCTGTATAAATCAATGGTTGCGACCTCATTTGGAGTACTGTGTACAGTTCTGGTCACCACACCTCAGAAAGGATATTATAGCTTTGGAAAAAGTGCAGAAAAGGG